TTTTTTTTGACATTCCATCAAGCCACGCCGTTTTCGTTCATGGCAAATCTTTCGAAAGCTTCTTATCAAATCGTTGATATGCACTTCCACTTCAATGCTAGGTTTATTTGTGTTTGTTCGCTCATGAAAACCTATACTCCCTCCTCAAGTACTATTTTCCAGTGAAAATCTCAGCTAAAGTCTTCGTGGTTTCCTTTAAATTATGCAACTATTCAATATAGCAAAAGCTGATAGAGAAACGCTATCTAACCATATCTACGCGTCACCTTTCGGAGTTTAAAAAAAGAAGAGATTTTGCAAGAGTAATACTTTAATTAGACTTTTCCTATCAGATTTCTTCAGACATGAACAATTCTCGGCACCCGTTCAAAGCAATGTATACTTTTGGACTCCATAAATAGTGGTATGTTAAGACTGCACATGCAATTTTAGCGGAGAAACTGCTCTTACTTACTTCGAGATTACTTAAATTTAGTTTTGATACGACAATTCATTCCACATTTGTTTAAGACAATAATGCTGTTCATAAGTTCAAAACATTTATTATTTCCCAAGGCTTTTAAGAATAATTATTTAAAAATTCGCGTGACAATGACAAATGTGGGGTTAATCATCCTGGGAAACGTCCGAATCCACCACCAAAACCTCCTCGACCGAAACCTCCTCTTTGGCCATAACCACTTCCTGGCCTGACACGACCTCCGAAGCCACCCCCTCGACCAAAACCGCCGCGAGGAGAATGTCTGAAAGAGAGAGGATGGGTACTTTTTAATTTGGTTTGCTCTTGACGTCTTGATCAAACTAAGCTTAGAATTTGCTATGAACTTTATCTGGATTGAAATTATTTATAAGAAGACATTGAAAGTTTAAGACGTAACCTGTTCACCCCGCTCAAAATCAGAGCATTTATTTCAGTTATCTGTGGGATTTCAAATTTTCTAAGGTTTTTGGATCAGTGCTTCCTAAAGAAGCCATTTCCTCCTGTTCCTTACCAAAGCAATTTTTGATAAAAATTCAACTTTCAAATATCAAAGTTTGAAGTTATTATGTACCATCAACATTAAAAACAGGGGAAAACGCGAAACTATAAGCAAATTTTGAAAACAAAACGAAAAACGAATTACCCTCCATGATGGCCGTGACCACGTCGGTGGCCATGCCTATAACCATGCCTCGGGTATGGTATGGTTTCACCTAACGAAACTGAAAAATGAATAAGTCGCAATATATCTGGACATCATTAAATCATTGAACAAACCTAGTGCCAATATGATCGTTAAAATAAGAATAAACGCTTGCAGCTGCATGTTATTTGTCGGGATGTAAGTTTATTAATTTCTTTTTATTCTTTTGAGAATGGGAGTGTGCAAAATTTTTCATGTGACAAGTTCCCTGCAGGCATCGATGTTGACCCGACAAACTCTTCGCACGGCAAAACCGTACCGCTGGTGGAGAGAATACCGCAAGTCATATTAGCATTTGACTTTTACACGGAAGCCCTTCGCTCCGATTTGGAAATACGAAAATCAAAGATCCGTTAAACTAACTCTAAGACTGGGAAGAAATAAAAAGTCATTTTGTTTCTTCTTTCAAAAATAAAATAAAAACCTGTACATCGTTGGGAGGACTAAAATCAATGTACTAGAATCACTATATGGGTTTAGACGCTTTCTATACAAAATATGCTAAAGATGGACAACAGGCTATTAAAGTAACTGTGTTTTACGCCTATGCTAGGAATGCCTTAAACAGACCTCGGCGGCAGGTCTCCGGAAGGCAAGCTGGAATTCGTTTTTGTGGAAAAAGCAAAGGGG